GGGGAATGCCTGGTCATTCTTACATACTTTAATAGGGGGGAGGGGGCGAGCGGGTAAAAAAATCGGTCAAAATGTCTTAGGTAAAAAATACTTGAACGGCCCCTGACTGAATAAAAAGGAGAAAATCAACGGGCGGGATGCGCAGAATTTTATCGATCATTGCGAAATCGCTAGAAGAGTGAAAACCTCCTGCGGTGCAGAGTTGGGAAAAAATTAGTCGGAAATTATTTAGTCAATCAGAAACGTCCGATCAATCGTCGCCTGGACGAATAAGACGAGAATTCTGAGGAGCGAGCGTCTGGTCAGTGTTGCCGCCAATTTCAGTGATAGCCGAATAATTCGCGCCAAACTCTACTACGGTGAACGCGCGCCTCTTGGCGGGAAATTGTTTACGGGACGGGGAGAAGGAGGAGGAACGCGGGGAAGGGGTATTCGAATCGTGGAATGATCATAGTTTCCGCCGGCCGAGGACGAAAAAGTTTGAACCAACGAAGGGTCACTATCAGAATCTGCTCCGTGAAATCATTCGAGACTGATTTTGCTCGAGGAGACGGCCGATAAGGTTGTCGCCACCTGCATGTCTGGACCGAGTTGCGAGACAACATCCTGTCGAAAGGGACGAGACGGAGCCACCTACAGCGCGCTTATCTCTCCTCATTTCCCTGGTTTTCCCCACAGCTCTGTCAATGCGCACCCCCCCCCTCCCTGGTCTCTCTCTCACAATCTTTTCCCGCTTTGGTCTCTTTCCTCTGGCTAGGTGGTGCTCCTCCCTCATGAAAAGTGAATCGTAAGATTCGGTTAAAATTAGACTGAGTTGTTAAACAGTATCCCCGATGATATTTCCTAATGTAAAGGCACTGTGAGGTGATGACAGGTAGAAATTTTTGTTACCTACTCTGCTGTGCTGAGGAAGAATGCTCAGGCATTGCCAAATTAGAGCAAATTGGAGAATAAGGATGGCAGTATCCGTTGCAGGGGCGAGAATCAGAGGGACTTAATCTCATAGATCTTAAATTGTCTAATTTTTGTGGAATTTTATTGCACTGGTTCATTGCGAAGTTTCACCTGAAAACGCACTCATTTATTCATGAAAGGTCGTTCATATTCGTCGTTTAGTTTTTTTTAAATTTTAGTCTATATCACAATAGCAATTCTCAGTGCATTTTAAAATGAATGCAGCAACGTTGATATGAATATTCGCTCTCTCTCTTCCTTACATCTACCCTTCGTCTCTCATCAATTACGTAACATGGGACCTTTGCGGTGAAAGATGACACTCAAACTAGCTTTAAAAAAAATCCCTCTGACTCTTACCCCTGACGTGGGAGGGGAAGAGGTCCTAGATTTTAAAAATTGATCGGTTTCAAAATCATTCCAAAATTTCAGATCTAGTAACTTTCGTGGGGAGGGGGGGGGGGCAGTAAGTTTTAAGTATAGATTCAATAAATTTTCATATCGCTTAAGTATCTGAAAATATTCTCTCACTTATTACACTGCATTTTCCTAAAGTGAACTTCCCAGTCGGACAATGGGCTCATGTGGATTTCGGGAGACTTGGATAGGTAGAAACCAAAATAAATGAATTAAGAGGAAAATTAGTTGACTTCCAATAATTTAGTTGAAACATTCTCAAATAACCCACAGCGTGTTGGGCTAAGGGCAACAACAATTGTATTCTAACTTTGAGCTACTCGTGTGCTCTGGAAAAATTCGGGCTGGAGTAGGAAAAGCAGAAGCAACATGAAACTTATGGATGAGAAAATATGATAAAATTGCAGCTCACACTAGCAATAATGACCTAGCTGTATTATCATTGAGGATATTTTCGATGAAAGTGCTGTAGGTAAGAAAGGAGGATGGGGCTTCAGGTGAATTTTACAAGAGGATGTACTTAGGTACTAAGTATTTTCAGAAAACAAATACGATAAAAAATTCTGGATAAAATTTAAAAAAAAAAATTAAAACCTCCCTTTTCTAACACTCATCAGCAGTATCTAAGTTTAGGTAGATATTATTAAGTATCTCATGCTCTTTCGAGGCATTTTGGAAAAGAAAACTGGGTAAGTACCTGTGAGAAAAAAGCAAATTATAGCTAAAAACGTACAGATAATTGGGCGTACCTATTTTAGTAAAAAATAATCAAAAGGAACTACCACTCTAAAAATGAGCACTGAGATCCATACTGCTGTGCTAAGGAAAAACGTCGTATGAACTTTCAGGCGTTGCAAAATTTCCTTTGATAAAACTCGCATTAACTGGTAAACTTGTGAGTATTTTTCTTCCAGTTTGTCAGATGATTTTGCTCGCGATTCAATCGAAAATGCCTGAAAATTTCGAGGGAAAATATTCATAACTTTCTTAAAAATGAACAATTTATAGCGGGAGATTTGGCCACTCTCGAATGCTCATACGGCGTTCTTCCTTAGCACGGCAGCATAAGTGTGCCTGTACACGCATGACGAAGCTCTCGTCAGAGCTCTTTCCGATTAAAGTGTTTCCAACTAAAGGAAAAATACGAGATTATGTGATACATTAATGGTGATCCTGATATTCGAAAAATACCTAATATTAGCGATAGCAATAATGTCTGAACAACTTAAGAAAAGACCTTGTTACCTTTCTGGAGGAGCATACACTCTTGGAGTGCAGCCCCGTAACCATAAAATTGACAATCAGTGTAGAGAAATGCAACATATTATGACAGAATTGAAATCAGAAGAGAGAAAATGGATGTTTTCAGACCTGACCGAAGAGCCTCACCAATCTGACAAAAATAGCTGGAGCAGAATATTCCAGAATAATCATAGCCATTACTTATTTCCGAGACTCGTCCCACTAGATGAAAAACAGGCCACACAAAATGCACTAAACTCGATCACTCACGGTTTCACACGACGCGAAAACACAAGTATAATCGGATCCGAAAACACGAGAACCGAAACTGAACGCGACCATGAGGAGGAATCGTCGAAATCCTCGAAACCGCCACGAGAAGTTCACACACATCAGACGAACTGAGAGAGTACAGAAACCGATGGAAGACAAAATGAGAGACGAATAGAAATGTCTGGGTTTCGAGCAAGGACACGCGGGACCATGGAGGTTCGAAAATCCACGCGACCGAACTCGAACAGAACGCAAGGCAAATTCTCCTCATTTCAGCCGAACACAAAAGGGACCGAACGAATCAAGTGATCTCAACAGAGGAGTTAATCAGATCTCAGCGGCTTTCTTTCAAATGAGAAAGCACTAAATTGTCGAATCCGAAATCAAGTCCACGAAAACTTTCGACAAATATCGAGAGAAGGCCACCCACGTAGTGCGGAAACCAAATGAGAGGAAAGATAGGTTCACGCCGTTTTCAACACTCCCGAATCAGGGGTTTGTCCATTTTCGAGAAAAGTCTTCATCGAAATCGAATCATGTCCACGAAAACTTAAACCGAATATTACCGAGAAGTTCACTTTGCACGACGCGAAAACGATTAACTTCAACCGATGAGACGAGAGACGGGAAGGATAAGTTCGCGCCCGACACAATCTTTGAAAAGTCAAGTCCTATCCTTCACCTTTTCCGATTGCATTATTGGTCGTAAGTTCACAGAATCTTCGAATAGATCTTGCACAGATATTGAGAAAACTCGCACTAAATAGCCAGGAGCATTATTACTACGATAGGCGGGAACAAATTGAAAGGAAAGCAAGTTTGCGCAGAACAATGCACCACCGACCGAACGTGACAGATTTGTGACGCGTGGACCTTTCAGTGGCGCTGTTTTCGGGAAACTGGACGGTGGGGTGGGGATGGGGCACGCTCCTGCCTGAGGTGCAGGTGGATGCCTCGCGGCAGGCTCCCCCCACCCCGTCGCTCTTGCCATCTCTTGCTACTGTCTGACGCGCGGGTTGCCAGATTTGCGCTCTCGTATTTTTTTCCCGCGATTTTTTATCGTTTGTCAATGAGCAAGAAAGCTTCCCGCTCGCACACACACACATCCACGCACGATCAGATTTGGCCATCCGCCCCTATTGCCGAATTGACTATCAAAAACCTTGGACTCAACATCTGAGTTTTAGCGGTTTTTCCAATAGGACACTTGATGAAAAGGAGGCCTTGCCACATGTATATTTTATGCTTTTAAGATATGTACTTTTTACCCTATAGTGCGGCTGGATCGCAATATCGCAGTATGGTTAAACGGAGAGGAACCGACACGTTTTCAGTCTTCTAAAATCTGGGATCCTCATCTTTATCTGAAAAAATGCCTTGGTGTTTTTTGCCAAGTACAGGTCTAATGAGGTAATTTTAAAGGGAAACGCGATCCAGAAACTTTTACTATCGTCAATGTATCGATGGCCAAAGTACGAAACCACGTATCTCCGTTTGCAACGCTGCAGACTTACGCCATACCTCATTTTTTCATTAGAAAACTAGTCAACTTAATTTCGTGAAAACTTCCTTTGATTTTTCTCCTTTATTCACAGTATTTTTCGCAGAAATTTCAAGGTACATAATTTGGTTTTCTTCGATAAAAATAAAATAAGAACAGAGATTTTGAAACACCGCAATGGAGATACGTGGTTCCGCATTTAAGTCATCCATATTAGCTCTTTCCTTAAAAATAGTTTATCTGCATTTTCACAGAAATTGCATATTCATAAATTTTTACCATCGAACATCCCCCCCCCTCTCAAAATAGATTATGGGTGTGTAGTACTCTTTCTGGAAGGGATTAACTCTGGAAGGGGGGTAATTGTCCTGACTGTGGATTCGTTAACTCATAAAATAATTTGCTTTGAGTCTACAATGTTTTTCATGTACGAATTCTCACATGAGAGGGCCGTCCAGAGGCGAAATCCATTACTTTTTCTTCTGTTTTACAAGATTGACAAATAATAAAGACTATTGCCATAATTTTGTAAGCCAGAGATCCCTCGTTTAAATGACATTCTTTCCTCGCAACCCAGTTGCTGAGCAAGTTGAGTGAGTTTGTGAATTGAAAATTAATTCTTGATGCAAGGCATACTTTTGAACTGAATTTAGGGTGAATCGTCTCGGATTATGGCGTGGTCGAATTGGTATGTATCTCGTCGATCGAGTGAAAAATCTTGGCAGATTTTGACATTCTACCCAAAAAAAAGACGAGCCTGCAGAATAATAATCTTAGACTAAAAAAGTGGCAAAATGTAGAGAAAAGAAATCAGGATTCATTTTTTAAAGAAGCCTTGTATTTAATACAGTAATCGACTTTTACATCAAGTGCACCCCCCCCCCCCCCCGAAAAATAATCCTGCCTTCGTTTTTCTGAATTTAACAATTTTTTTGGTCGAGTTCGATTCTTCCAGCTCATGCGTAGGTAAGGGCTATCGTCCTTTTTTGAGCTGAACTTTCAAACTGTGGCGAGGCGTGAATGATCGATTATCGATATTTCTATTTGAAGCTGTTGTAAATAATCGATTATTGAGGTGTTCGGTGCGATCACCCTGTTCATCGATCATTTTCCATAGATTTAAATGGCAGGGAAATCGATGTACCGCAAAAAGCACGCCACGCCACTGCTTTCAAAACCTACCGAGATTTTTTAATTAATCGATACGACATACCGCACGCCAGTTCGACCTCGTCAGAATCCATGACGAATCACCTTAACTTTTAACAGAAAGATATTCTCGGAACTTTCGAACTTTTTGCAGAAGAGGCTTACCTGCTATTGCTTTCCTTACACAGATCGGTGTATTATACAAAGTTCAAACCAGTCGATTCGGGCCTGAGGGATTCATCGCCAGGCCTGAAACATCCCTGGTCAAAAGTTTCAACCTTGGCTTCTTTTTTCTACGTTTATTATTTTTTATTGTTTTTTATATCAGCTCATATCAGTAGGTTCCATTCTTTGGATGAAAGTTCAAGGTTCAACTAGCCAAAAATGTGTATTGACCGCGGCTGTCAATCCGGTAGTTTCAATGCTGGTCTTACAGGGTCGGACTGGCTCGCATCTGAGGGCGCAGGCCCTTGGCCGGTTAAAGAGGCGTAGTGTGATATTTCCAGGAGAATTCCCTACAAAGAGAGGGGTTGCGAAAATTTTGGCAAGGCAGCACAAGTTTACGCTATTTTCAGGTTCAAAGTTTATTAAGTAATCGCAAGGAGTAAAACTAGCAAAATTGAACGTATTAAAGTAACCGGCAGACTTCTGAAATTTAAGTAAACATAAACAATCAAAGCCATAAGCCACTAGGACGTATCCAAGCACCATTATTTCCATCCATTCCATTCCGATCCAGTGCTGCCGTTTACACGAGCCTAAGACGTGGGTCTGCAAATCCATCCTAAAAAAGAATCAGACAAGAAACTGAAAAAAGAAGAAAGGACGAGTATCAACACAGCTTAAGACGGGAAAGACGTATTCGGGCCTCTTTTTTAACTTCTCTCCCAAATCTGAGTAACACCTCATTGACAGCATATAGCAGGGCATTGAGAGCTCACGCTTTGCGTCACAGCGCCTTCAATTTTTCAGATGCAGCACGGACGTCCATCGAGTACGAATAGTTGTATCTTTGCGCCGTCGTAAACGCGCATCCTTTCCCTCCCTCTATTTCCATATTGTGTTTGTTTGCGTTTGTCTGATTCGTAATGCTGCTTCAAGCACTACGTGAGTAACATGGCCGAAAGTAGGAGGGATGTGTCCGGACCTCTTTTTTATCTTTTCTCCCGAATCTGAGCGACACCTCATTAACAGCATATAGCAGAGTGTTGAGAGCTCACGCTTCGCGTCATCGCGCCTTCAATTTTTCAGATACAGCACGGACGTCAATCAAGTACGAATAGTTGTATCTCCACGCCGTCGTTAACGCTCATCCTTTCCCTCACTTTATTTCCATATTGTGATTGTATGCGTTTGTCTAATTCGTAATTATTGTGCTCTAAACTAGTAGCATATACCAGAGCTTTGCGAGCTCACAACTCACGCCATCGCGTCTTACATTTTTCATACGCAATGTGGACGTCCATCTTGCGCGAATAGTTGTATCGCGTTTACACTTTAGACGGCTCTTATTTTTGAATTTCGAGATAAATAAAGGTTATAAGTTTGCCCGAGATATGCTATGGTTTGTCCAAATCAATAGTCATAGAAATATGTTTAAAGGTCTCTCAAGAGGGGTATAAAGGGTGCGTATCTAGGTCTAAAAATCGAACCGACCATCGCTTCAAAGGGAGTTACACATAGGGACGATAAATCGCATGTATGTCAACAGAAAGGTGATCATTTCACAGAGAAGTGTTTACGCTTCAAAAAGTTGTTCTTGGACCTCTGTTCACCACTATGCGTAAAAGCACCTTTTTTTACTCCTATCTCTCTCTTCTTCGGTTCATTTAAGAAATTTTCCGCACATATTCTCGGTCGTAATTTTTTTTCTCTTCTTATTTTGCTATCTGTCAGAGGGGCGCGTTTTCGGCGCGCCAAGGGGGCGTATCTGCCAATGGCAGATTTGCCTTATGGCCAGTCTGAGCCTGGCTGGTCAGTGATGAGGCGTGAATGATCGGTATCGATATTTTTCTATTTTAAACCATGGTAAGGAATCGATTATAAAGGTGTTCATTGCAAGCACCCTGTCTATCGAACCTTCCCCATATAGTTTTAAATGACAGATAAGTCGATATATTGCAAAGCACGCCACGCCACTGATGCTGGCGCGGTGCATGCCGACAGGGCAGTGCAGGTCGAGAGGTTGATTCCGAACAAATAATAAACTAAAATCAAATTCGCAAATACCTCTGTATATTCTTAAAGTCGCACATCTAGAGGAATCTAGGCCAAAATTTATGTACAGCAGGCTCTCACCCTCCTGTTTTTAAGGAGTAAATAATCCCTTTTTTAGGTTGATCGTCCCCGAGGAACACGTAATAACGTAATATGATAGACATCATATTAAGTGCAAGGTTGATTTCATTTTCGGGGGTATTGGACTCCTTTCACGTACTCAAGGGATGCTGCGGCCTTCTCTTCGACGAACCAAACCAAATGTCTATCGTAAAAATTTAGTGTCAGGAGTGGGATTTGAACCCACGCCCTCAGAGAGGACCAGAACACCCGTGCGCCCGCGGAACGGGCAAGGCTGAGCCTTGAGTCTGGCGCCTTAGACCGCTCGGCCATCCTGACGGTTGGTGGAGGGGCGCGGAAATTTGCGGTGAAAACTAGTTTGCATGTACTTTCACTACGTTAGTCAAGTTCTATTTTCCCTACGAATGGTTTCTACTCAAGTGACTGACATTAAAAAGCCCGCCAAATCGATAATGTGTTCTTGAATGTCCGACTGATCGTATGATTAAATGATGATGGAGGTAAATGTGTTTGTATGCGTGTATTGATGATATGTCATTGCCTGTATTTGTATTGGGATTGGGAGCAGGGAGCATACGCATTTCGAAGTCCACCTTAAACTTTTTATTAAAAAAGGGGGGAAAATTAAATATAAATATAATTTTTTAATTTCTGAAACAATGTCGTTTTTTATTTTGAGTTTCCGAGTTTTATTTGATTCATTTAATTCATTTTTGTTTTAAAGATTCATTTGCTTCGTCAGTAAAATTAAATACCCTTAAAAACAATTTAACAATTTTGTTTCATATTTTTTATAATAAGTTTTTTTGTACAGTTCATTTTAATTGCCAATTATTATTATTTATTTATTTATTTATTTATCTATTTTTTTCCGATTTACCTTAATTCAGTCTCAGAATTAGAAATATTTTTCATGGCACCTCGGTTTTAAATCAAGATGCAAATATTGAGTTTCTTTGACAATGAGATTCATTTCGTGTGTTTTCATTCATTTTTCTTCTTTGTGAAAACACGGATACCTAGAGGTAGTCGAGTGCTACATAAATTTGGGACCATTTGAGAAAATACTACTCATACAGTCTTCCGACTCAAGTATATTTGATATTNGGGGGGGGGGGGGGGGGGGGGGGAGTTCACATGGGAGATTTTCAAAGTAGCTAGTAATATGGACTGCATTTTGCAAAACGGAACCGAGAGTATTCCAATGTCGCTAAGATTATGCAACATTATTCACCTTGCAAATATAAACTGATAATCTAAACAAGTTTTGTCTTTACTTCCGAGAAACTATTATTCAAAACGAAAACTACCTATATAGGTAATTTTAATTTTTTGCATCATTTCAGTAATTTCATCGCAAAATTTTTAAATTTGCTCAATCCTGGCAGCACTGGAATGCTCTTGGTTCCTTCTTCCAAAATGCAATCCATATGAACAAAACTCATAGCGTATACACTATGACTATAAAAATCTACCTCCTTCCTCGTCTCGGAGAACGCACGGCGCACAGTGGATCAGAGAGGTCGGACATGAAAGTTTTAAATTGAACTGCAAATTAGGTTGTTTATTTCGTCACATTTTTATTTTTACGGGGTGCTTCGAAAAGAGGAGTTCATAAGGAAACCAATGGTGCCACTTTTAAAACCTCAAAGTTTGTTTAAACGGATTTATGAGCTTTCAAAGTTTCCAAATTTTGTCCGACCTCTCCCGTTGACTCGATCCAATGTGCGGCGGCAGAAGTCCGGGGCGGAGTTTGTATCCCCACTTCTCATTCATACCTGTTGTCACACTATTTGGGGAGGGGCGCGAAGCACCATTCATTCATTGAGCATATATTGCTGCCGTGCCGAGGAAGAACGCCGTATGAACATTCGAGAGTTGCCAAATTTCCTTCGATGAAATGTTTATTTTTGAGGAAAGTCATGAATATTTTTCCTTAAAAACTTCAGGAACTTTAGGTGAAATTGCAAACAGCAATATCTGAAAAGTTAGAAGAAAATACTCATAATTTTACCAGAAAATATGCGTTTTATGAATTGAAATTTGGCAACGCCTGAAGGTTCATACGGCGTTTTTCCTTTGCACGGCAGATTGGGTGTATTCGTGCCATTCCTCAATCGCCTGACAACTATTCTATGAGAGCCGTACTGGTAAAAATGAATTCCGTCTTTTTACCGATAAGTCAACTTTTGACTGATTGTCGGTAATTTTCTGCATTTGACTTCAAACTCTACGTCGAGATAATTCTCAAGGATTTTATGCACTTTAATCATACATAAGTATGTTCGCGCACTAAAATGGGATTTTATATCGTCACAAGTAACAAAGTATATATGCTTGCTCAAATCATCGCCAGCTCTATCGGCTCCCAGTTATTTTTCCCTTTTCTGCTTTTTTACCAATAACTTTTGCAATTGTGTGAGGGGGAGGGAAAAGAGGATGAGATATTGCCACTTACTAAGAACAGAGTATAGTATACCTGTATTGAGAGACTACTTTCTCTTTTCAGAATATCAAACTGGACTTTCCCCTGTGCGAAATTTGATTGTTTTTATGTCTAGACTTTTTGAGACTATAACGTCATGAACATTTATAATTATTGGTACATTGAGTCAGAATTTTTATCGGCGAGATTTTATTAAGTCAGGCTTTCCGTCCTCTCGTTGAAAAGGCGCCTGTGACATAATAAGCTCTCTGATACCCTACATTTTCATTTTTTGTCACAGTGTGTTCTACCGTTCTACCGGGCCGACTTCCATGATTTTTAAGGCTGCAGCCCCTCGATGATCCCACTCAGATTTTGGAAATTAGATCTAAATTTTTTCATATAAAGTGATAAAGTTGGGTATTCTCACACTGGAAAAATGTAAAAATTATTTTTTTCATTGTCACATCAGTTCGTCTGATAGATCCACGTGGCCGATTTTCATTATCTTTACGATTATCTGTAGGATATAGTCTCTAGATTAGCCCGCTCTATCTAGATTAGCTTATGGGGGCCCGCGAAGCGCCCGGTCGGGGTTGGGCCGCGTAGCGACCAGGTATCACAGCCCCCTCCTAATATAATATTAATACGGCAACACAATATTTTTTATTATTTACGTTACTGAAACCTTGAAATGAAGTTAAGCGTAAAGTCACGACAGCGCTGCGATAACCTTTGCTGGATAGAATTATACAGTGTAGCACCCAAAAAACGTATACAATTGATGGTCTCGGCTGCCTCACTGTACGATCTGTTCAGTGTTCATTGACATCGCCGGCCGGTGCTGATAGTTTCAACATGAAGCAGCCTCTGTCCGTTATCTTAACGCTCTTTGCACTCCATCAGTATGAGGTGAGTGCTGTTCTACTCAAATTCGCAAATTAAGGTGATTCGATGGACGTTATATTTTGTGACAGAACGACATGCGTTATATCGCATCGATTAGTTCCATTTCCTCAGCTAGTTGTCATTTTTTCGAATTTTGAGATCGCAATTCTGTTGTCAAGAGACTAAAAAATTCACTTACCAATTTTGACAAACAAATTCAACTTATTCAAGGCGTGGTTCTTTTAGAGGAAAAACATCGCATTCGATACTGATGGCGAAACTGCACTCGAATGCGATAATTACCCTCTAAAAAAACCACGCCTACATTACGTTGAATTTGTTGTTAAAATTGGTAAGTGAATTCTTTAGACTTCAGACAACAGAAATGCGATCTCAAAATTCGAGAAAAATGACGAGTAGCTGAAAAAATGGAACCAATCGATGCGATACATCGCATGTCGTTTTGACACAAAATATGGCGTCCATCGAATCACCTTAAAAACGTAAAGCTCACACAATAACGGATTTTTTACAAAAACCACAAAGGCCCCAATATCTCTATAGGATTTTGAACATTTAATAGAAAAATGTGCGTGAAAAAGTCATGGCTGTTATGCCAGGAGGTATAATGTGCTGATAACAATTCCTGTCTTAAACAAAGTTTCGTGTGAAAATTCTTACATTGTTTTAGGAAATAGGCAAAAACTCGCAGCGGCGACAGACGTTCTGCATTATATAATAATAACATGAGACACACGAAAAATGCACTTGCATCGAAAAAAAAGAAGACTTTTAACCTTTTTGAAAACAAATTTTCATTATTTTCACCATTAAGTTACTTCCATAGTGTCTGCATATTAGTAAGCTATTACCCGAAATTATGAGATAGATTTATAAGCGCCACACCGCAGAAAAACTAAATTTCTCCAGTTGATTTATTGGCCAGGCTTTTTTGGGAAAAAACTGAGTGAAGGGCTACGATTCCATTCTTACACAGTTCTTCAGTTAGAAACAAAAAAATTTCAGTGTGCCAATCATGTGTATTGAATGTAAGTTGAGGGTTCACGCCGTATTTGCTTCACATCTGCACTCAAAATGTATTGCAAAAAAAAAAAAAAAAAAAAAAAACCTGCCTCCAATCGATTAAATAGGTATTGTCATTCCCTTGATGAGGCTTCGCTTATTTGAAACTGAAGCACAAGATACTTCATATGTCTTTTCAAAAATTAATCAGGTAAAAGTGTGTAAAACAAAATGTATAACAATCACAGCAACAAGGCAACCAGTATTAATTCCTTATGTCAACAAAATAACATGATTTGTTTGTGCGAACATCATTTAAAATAATGTAATTGGGAACGAGTTTCGTCCCAAACCTAACAATACCTTATTTTTATCAGCAAATACATTGGATATGAATTACTAAAAAGCTGAGCTTCTCATTGTCAATATATACAATTCTATTTCTGGTTTTAAAGCGAATCATTTTTCAACGTATGATACTTACATATAAATTTTCTAAATCTCTGCGGTGTGCTTTGTTTACCCCATAAAATTTCCTGTGAGAGGACATTTGCTGAAACAGCCCATGAACAGATTGCCATCCAGATTTCAAATTACGCTCTCCATCCCATTATCAAGACTGATCTCGCTACGTGTACTGTCAAGCGTATGCCGTTCAATTTGAAGGCGCATTTTACGCCAATATTCTTTTCAGAATTTACAATCGAGTTTAGCCTAGCTGAGGACTTACCGTAGTTACCGTATTTTAGAAGCTGTAGGACACTTACATATTAATATGATATTGTGGTATATTGGAGTGGTTATTGCATATTGAAGATCCGTATTTGAATATCGCTTACCGTACTGTGAAAAAAATCAACATCATTTAATTTATGCGTCTACTGCGTATACTTTCAGAGGCTAAATTTCCTTGCCATTCCTTACTCTTTAGTAGTTTGACTTTCCGCTAAAAATTTCAGAATATATCCTTAAGATAAAGAAACCATAGCCGAGTGTCCTCCATTTTGAAGCAATGTTTAAAAAAGTACATTACAGCACGACTGTCGGTAACTTGCGTACGTAGATTTGGATCGCGTTAGGCAGAAAGGAACCAAGTCACATCAGCTAATGCCAAATTTGACTGGGCAATTTAATTTTTCACAAGAGACCGCTCATGCGGATCCCTTTGAAAATTTTGAGGAATTTGCTTCGTGATCTGCAAAAAATTCACCGTTTGCACAAAAATCTGCACAACCGTTTTTATGTAAAAAATCATAATTTTTGTCATCTATGCGGCAAAATTCAGGCGAACGTTATACATCAATAAATTTACGCATGGTCAATTGGTTCTAGTGGAGCTGATGGACCGAGGGTAATTTGTGTTTTTCGCGTAGATAACCATTCACACTCCCCAGTGTGCACGTTGCATACATGAAAAGTTCATCGGAATACATTTGAAAACTTTTCTCAAAATTTAAAATCTCAACATCCGCTGCTTATACAATTGAGGCACTGGATGCGAAAAGGGCACTTCTCGATTGCGCTGTTCCAGAATCTCTGTTGCTAATTAATCACTTGGAGAAGGCTTTAATGGGTAATTTTTCCAGAATTCTTTCCATAGAAAATTGTAGAATCATCAGGAATATTCAGTAGAATTTTCAGTGAAATGCATGCATTCACTTTCCTTACAATGAATGAAATATTAGAGGAAACACTGCAACCGAGAAGTGCCCTTTTCGCATCCAGCGCCTCAGTTGACCAGGGATGCCAAATCGTGATAAATGCAAAATAGCGGTACACAAAAAAATCACGTACCTATTTGGCTAACCGTGTGCTAATATTATAGGCAATTTTAATATCTCGAAAGGAAAAATGCAAAGAAAATCGAAAACCACACGAGACGTGTCCTAAATATTTAATTTGAAAACTTTGTGTGGCATACTGCATGCGTGAACTCGCGAAGAGGCGCGCAAGGGCGCAAACTGCTCGATCTTCCTCGGATGGTGTCATTCCCGGAGGCCGGCACAGCACTAAAATGTTTTTTTTTTCCCCGTTCATTTTGTACGAAAAGGCACCATCTGCACGTGTGTATCCAATAAATTTCAAAACAAGCAGGAAGCTCCAACGCATTCGCGTCGGAAAGCGGCTCTGGCGACGGTAGTTGTTACGCGTTTACGGTTTCCTTGGTAACCTTTGTTTGCTATCAGCTGATGTCGAGTAGTATGACTAGGAAGCTCCAACCACGGCATTCTTCGAAAAAAGCGCGAAAACTTATAGATTTGAATTTTCAAATTTTAAACGTTAAGTACATTTTTTCCAGTGCGAGATTAAAGCACAGACCCGTTTTGAATTATTGACAGTATCACCATGATTCCAAAAATACACTACACAACATAGCATTCGCTCACAGAAAAAAGATATCAATTAAAATAAAATCAGTCCCCCCTAAACAGCAGAAAATGGCGCCGATTCCCATCAACCAACGCGCGGTCTCTCCAATGTAACATGGTCCAATGATACTCCCCAGCTGGGACCGTCCGGAATAGCAGCTCTAGTGCAAGCACCAGAGCCGCTAAAACTCAAAAGTAAGGCCACCCTAGTATACATATCTCCATGTGCACTAATGACGCCTGTGTACATCATAGATAAAACGTTAGTAAAAACAATGCTCTCTGAATCTAAATTTATAATTTTGTTGCATTTTTTTTTTTTGTTGTTCAAAGGCTGCCGACCCTTACGCAGGAGACTTCGCTCGAGTGCGACACAGCAAAACGTTCGTCGACAAGACCGACTTCATCGGACTGTTCCTTAATATGTCTCATTCTACAATCCACATATCAGTGCCTCCTAAATTCGGAAAGTCAGTGAACCTGGACATGTTGAGACTTTACTTGGATGCGCCGGTCAAAGTGGGCAACGAAACAACCGCCAACAACCAGTACACCGATTCGCTCTTCCTCGGCACGAAATTCCACGGAAACCCACACTTTGGGGATCACTATCTCAAGTATAAAGTCGTCCACGTGGACTTCAGTCCCTTCAAGATAGTCGAGGACGTAGAAACTTTCAATCGCAGTCTTGCTGAGGTGGTCTGCCAAATGCACGAGAAATACCGCAGTCATTTAAATTTCTCCTACATTGACGGCAAGAAGGCTCCCCCTCAAGCATGTCTGGACTACCACAGGGAAAAAAAGCTCTCCATCCTTGACGCAGGGCAACAGCTCATCTCGGATATTTACTTCGCTTTCTCCAAACCAATTATCGTCCTCATCGATAACTTTGACGCAATCCTCCACAACTACATGATCGGACCAGTGCGACACAAAGAAAGAATCCACAAATACTTCGGCCACTTCTTGCGGGGGCTAGTTCAGGACTCGCCAGAGGTTAATAAATCCTTAATGGTGGGATCTCTGACCCTGGGTGGTGTCTTGGCCACCTTGACCAACGATACGAAACACCTGTTCCCCTTTGAGAACGGAACCGTCGCCCAGTATTTCGGATTCACCGGACAGGATGTCGACAACCTCCTCGACACTTTCCAGATCCGCGAAAAGAACGCTCAACTGCGAAGCTTGTACACGGGCTACAGGGTGCTTGACTCTCCGAATCTAACCCTCTACAACCCTCTTTCCATCACTGATTTCCTCGAGCAAAGATGGCATACGAACAGTTCGAATTTATTCAAAGGTCTCGACGGTTGTGATCGTATCTTAGAGAATGTCGTGATCGGTCGAGAGGTCGAACGCGTGGCGTACACTGTGGGAAAGAAAAAGAAACACCTCCCTCAAAGATACACCTTCAGCAACGGGAGACTGGCTTTCCAACACGTGGACCGCCTACACCGCGGCATGCGCTCTAAGATCAACACTTTCGCAAGCGTGGACGACATCAACCTTTTCATGCAGTACCTCTTCGAGCTTGGCTACTTTAGCATCGTCCACGCTCGAGTTGTGACGTCAGAACTCGACATGGTGACCATTATCGAGGACGTCGTCTTGACCCCCGCCACCTTGGAGGCTCGCAAAGTGTTAAGGAAGTACTTGACCGCCTCCAACTACTACCAATTCGTGCTGGGTAAAACCTGGGACCAGCTGAATGCGTTCGGGGAGTTCCTGCTGGACCTGCCCGGAAAAGAGGTCTTCCACGACCTGGCGGTGGCCACGCACAAGATCTTCAACCGGACGTGGGACGAGGTGAGCTGGCCGGTCTCCATGACGGGGGCCATGGAGGCGATATTCGCGCACAACGCCACCCTGGCCAAGCAGTATCCTGCCGTCCACTTTGAGCTGGTCGTTGAACGGGAAGCTGACGGTTTCGATTGTTCCAACGAGTTGGACGTGTTCCTCGTCACGGGCAAGAGCGTCGGGATCATCATCGAGAACCGGCAGGGAATCGAGCACAAGTTGGCATCGAACACATTTTACGCGATGCTGGACCGAGGGTGCGAGGACGTGTACGATCATATGCGCCCGAGGATCCTGGTCAAGACTAAGATAGCCATGCTTATCAATTTGACCCCGTCACGCCACTGCGAGATCTTCTACCGCGTGAGCGACCAGAAGCAGGGCGACCCGCTGTGGGGGTTCGCCCAGCACCCGCTCGGGGAGATCCTCGAATTTGAGGAGACCAAGAAACCTGACGACCCCGGCATGAAGTCCAAGTTCGACCTGGAGACCCAGAAGATGCTCGAGGAGGCCATGCGAAAGAGCCAAAAGTACAACGTTTCATCTGGACTAGGGGTCTAGCTATTAGTAGAACTTTTCATCTCCCAGGGTTTCCCGAGAATGTACTTTCTCGGTAAACTTTTGTGTGTAGGAAAACACATATAAATGATATCACTCATTCACTCACACTCAGAAGAGACACTGAGAACGTTTCCGCTCCCAGCACTTGGCTCTCCCGGGAAACTTTGATTTTTAATCTGGACAGTGAAGTCTAACTCTGACTGTTGTCACTGAACTTCACTCCCGATTTATTCGTGGGTTTTACAATGACGTCATTTTGTTGCATGTTTTACACGGAAAGAATCCTCATTGGCTTCTTAAAAATATTTGTCTTGACGTCGATGAAATCACCCCAGTGACTGAAGTGATTTCATCAACGTCAGGACAAATATTTTTAAGAAGTCAATGAAGAAGCTCTCCGTGTAAAACCTGCAACAAAATGACGTCATCGTAAAACCTACGAATAAATCTGGAGGGAATATATACACGGGTAGGTAAGCAAGGCTAAAACATCAAAAACATTTAAAGGCAGGACGTTTTGAGCTGTTACAAGCTCAATTTCAGCGGCAAAAAACACAAATAAATAAATAAAAAATTGAGTGGCGACCTGAACCCAGCCGTTATCACGTAACCACTGATGTTTTTAACACTCAATTTTTTATTTATTCTTTTGTGTTTATTGCAGCTGAAAATTAGCTGGTAATGGCTAAAAACATCATGCCTTTAAATGATTTTAATGATTTAGCCTGTTTACTCGTGTTTCAATTTCCTCCCTGTTCATTCGTATGTTCGAGCTATGTTTTTGTGATTCATCGTAAAACCCTTGATAAAGTAATATATTATTGTCTCGTGCATTTTGTTTTTCTATCATACGTTTTCAATTACTGAAAAACTGTGTTAGACCGGTGTTTTTTCTTTTCTTTTTTTCTTTTTTCTTTTTTCATTAATTGAATTTCAGCCGATTGTTATCCGCGTGACCTTTGGGAATTAAATGTCTTAGGGGAGGAAAGAAAACGTTAAAGGATCGATGTATTTATGTATAATGTTGAAAAAAAATTATGCGCGGTGGAAAAAATACTCAATCTATGGATTTCCTTTCGAATATGTTTCCTCAGCGTCTTTCAAGAAAAACGATTCTACATACCTACTACAAAGGAAGGATTCCGTTTAAAACGATAATATCTTAGTGGGAAAGTAATGGGAAAAGCCGCTCCTCCTTATTTTGAAGTGCTACATAAATTGTTTGAGAGTAAACAATAACTCTGTGCGTGATAGGGATGGATTTTAGACGAAGAAGAAGGCGAGAAAGAGACACACTGTACGTACATACATTCTGGCTAAAAGACTGGCGTTCTGCCAATCGTGCATACATCGCAACAAAATTGTGAATGTAAATATTACAGCGGAGTGGTGTGTCCGTCCGAGCGTGTTTACATTCTTGCATCTTGTTTAATTGAAGGGGTTGTTGTGTTTTCATTTGGTTTTCATTCATCCTCGAAATCATCCTCAGAGATTTTTTTTTTTTTTTTTTTTTTTTTTTTTTGAAGAATTTACGAATGATGTAATGAGGACAAATAAAAATGAGGGATAAATAAATTCTAATCATACAGCTGACTTAAAACGAAAGTATTCTCGATGATCCGATTTATTACGAGTGTTCGACAAAATTCAAGTAATTGAAAAAGCGAGTACTTATTCTTTTGAAAAATGAAGCAAAAGAGAAACTGTAATTCTAAACAATGCGACGAAAACTTTAATAAGCAGGTGTCTAAAGTATTTATAAGAATGAAAGCATCTTAAAAATAATGTGTGCTTTTTTTAGTAACCACACCGCTTTTTTAGATGAGATGTCTCAACTGGAAAAATGCAATATTTTCATTCAAAAGTTCTACACCCATGTCGAACAAAATTATACACTGCTCACATATTAAGTAAGACTGTAGATCGACATAGCGCGCCAGTGGAAAAATGGAAATATTAGATTGCAACTTTGCAGATCACATCTTTTTGTATTTAAAAAAAAAAAACAAAACAAAAAAAAAACAAAACTTTTTCTCCCAAATTACTATGAATTTCGTTCACTCATTTAAACATATTTACAGAACATTTCAAAGAGATATTTAGATTAGATCTCATTAAAAAATAAACAAAACGCAAGATATACACTTTCCTCGACTTTAATCATGATGTGCTCTTTCGTTGTGCCCTATTATTTCATTTTGTAATATTTAGATCAGAGTTAAGGAGTCGAAAAGTCTCCGAAGTACGACAACGCCGAGCCGCTGCGATAGAAATGGCAAAGAATTGTCGCTTTTTATGTCCAGCCATTTGCGCAGTTGCGCTACTTTGTCACCCCGTGCTTATATAACAGGCAAGAAGCAAATGCGTCACTTTCAGCCGTAAAGGCATCGAATTGCCGTGCTAAGGAAGAACACCGTATGAACATTCGAGAGTTGCCAAGTTTCCTTCGATAAAAGTATTATTTTTGAGGAAAGTTATGAATATTTTTCCTAGAAATTTTCAGGAACCTCAGGCAAAATTGCGCACAAAATTATCTGAAAAATTAGAAGAAAATAATAATAAGTTTACCAGGAAAGACGTGTTTTATTAAAGGAAATTTGGCAACGCCTGAAGGTTCATACGGCGTTTTTCCTCAGCACGGCAGTGGAGGCCTCCTTTGTGACGTGACGTGGAACGTTCACGTCCATTTTGGCCATCGTTAAATTCGCATTTTTATCTTTGCGTGTACGTCTGTCTGTTTTGTGGCCTTGGTAAAGTCCACTATACCCACGATCAACAGAGGCAAAACCGAAACGACTCCTCTCTCGTAATTTTACTTCTTCTGATCCAAGATTTTGCCGGGAATTTGAAAATGCTGAAAGCTAGCGATTAAACTGCGTTCGTCCACGTTGCTGGTCTACAGAATGTCTTAAAAATGTGCGTCACAGACAGAGTTAAGAAATTTCGTGAAAGATTATGAGAAGAAATTTCATGAGGAAATTTCAAGAAATTTCATGGGGAAATTTCAAGAAATTTCATGAGGAAATTTCAAGAAATTACATGAGGAAATTTCAGGAAATTTCATAGGGAAAAAAGAAATTGCATGAAATTTATCAAATTTCATGGAAGAAAAAAGAAATTTCTTTTAGCAACTCCGGTCACAGGTATGTTTAGTTTGGAACAAGATCGATACATTGCACGCCATAGCGTGGGACCATGTATGGATTAATGGAAGCGCATTTCATGCGTATCGCTTTAAAAGTTCCTTTATCGATCGAAAAATGTGACAGGAAGACTTCCATTCTGGAACAGTAGGCAGCAAGTCAAATTGCTTTGGACGTCGGCGCAAGGCCAGCAGGCCAAGCTTACCTTCATTCAAGTTAAACTAAAGATAGACGCTCACGATTACCTCACTCGATCCCGTTTGAGTTTTTCTGCACTTTTCGTCTCTTTGACTCATGAATCTAATAATCTTCCTCCTTCTCTTCGAAGTTTCTTCTTCTTCAACGTGAATCATGATCTTACATGATGGAACTTCACTGACCGGTGTATTGAGATGGCCGAAGTGCAGTGGCGTGGCGTGAATTGCGATGTATGGATCGTTATGCCATTTAAACCTATGGAAAAGGATCGATAAACAAGGTGTTTGCAGCGAACACCTTAATAATCGATTCTTTACCATATATTATTTTAATGGCATATCAATCGATATATCGTAATTCACGCCACGCCACCGCTGAAGTGCGAAACCACGTATCTCTGTTTGCGACGTTGCAGACTTCAACCTTTACTTTTCTCTTGGAAAACTATGCAACGTATTCTCTTAAAAACTTCCTTGATTTTTCTGCTTTGTTAGTAAAATATTGTGTACGAATTTCAAGCGATAAAGTTGGTATGTTTCTGGTTTTGCATAAGTAACCTTAAGCATTGCATTGCTCTTAAAACGAGCAACCTTTTTTGAAAAAATGAAAACACGGTATTTTCCACGGTGGTACATGCAACAATATGAAAACTAGTAATCGATGCTGTACTCATTACTCCTACCTATTTTTTTCTCTTTTTTTTTCGTATATTATCTCATTGTCATTTCCCCCATCATTCTCATGAACCTTAAAACTAAAATCGTAGGTAAATTAGCCGCAAGAATGGCGACGCATAGCACACCGGATACAATAGCATTCATGAGGAGATAGGAACATTTATATGTTTGCTCTGAGAGTTGACTATGACCTTTTCACATACTCAGTTGGGAATGAATAATGTTGTCAATTTGCCCGCAAAAATGCATTCCGTTCGGCACTTGGTGCATTTTCAATTCATCACTGAACGATGATGAACGATGACAAAAATGAAAATATGGGGAGTCGGAGCGTTTATATAATATGTCGACAGTGAAACTACCAGACCACGTATCTCGATATGCGACGTTGTAAACTTCCAGTCATACCTCATTTTTTAAATGGAAAAATAATTAATGAGAGCTCTTGAAATCCTCCGTGATTTTTTTTCTCTGCACTGAGAAAACTCTGTAAAAATTTCCGAGAATGATATTTAGGTATTTGTTCTTTTTTAAAGAAATAAAATGGGAGGAGAGATTTTTAAACATCGTAAATAAGATACGTGGTCTGATAATGTCACCATCGATGTATGATTTGGATTCCACTGAGAGATGGGAAAAATACAATCATGCCCGTCTCATCTCTGTGAAAATTCTCACGGGTTATGATAAAATTTGGCAGCGATGTGTGGGCGTTTAATCTAATTATCTTATCTTAATTGCTGGACCCGGACGGTACGTTTGGGTCCCAGGACTGTCGTGAAAAACTATTATGTTGCCGCGAGTGTAACACGGGCCACATATTCGCACAGCACGTGGAATAATTTTATGAATGAAACTGCAGACAGTTTAATTAATGAGGCAACGCGATACGACGCGAAGAAATATTTCGGGCGGTGTAGCGTGATTGAGCACATGGCGCAAAAACTGGGAAGAAGGACACATAGGGTTGATGGAAATCCAGCTGACAATTAGTGAGATTTCAGCTCTCTTATAGGCCCGATTACGCAAAAAAAAGAAAGAAAGAAAAACTTATTTTGGGAATAATCCATTTTAATTATGTGTTCAAATATATCATTAGTACCTATTTATTTATCTATGTTTTAATTGGATTGCATTTTGCAAAAAGGAACCACGAGCATTGCAATGTTTCTAAGATTGTGCATCTTCTTTTGTCTTGGAAAAAAAACCAAATTAACCATATTGACAATTTCTATTTTACTCGTTGAAAACTGTGAATCTAAGTCAAAAATTACCAGGTGAATTTCATCTTTTTTCATGATTTCAGTTACTTTACTGCAAAGGATGAATTTGCACTATCTTAGGATCATTGGTTCCTTTTTGCAAAACGCAATCCAATTATTTTTTAATCATATTATTACCTCAATACACAAATTTTGATTAAGAATATTATTTAACTTCAGGAATATAAAGTTTTCCATGGCGCAATTTCAAAGTGACAAGCATGCAAAATATCTCGCGAAAAATAAAAAATACGAGGTAAAGTCACCGCTTCACGGCCCTCCACGCTTGGAGTGATCCTGCTTTCTACCGCGAGGGAACGTGATGTCTGAGAATGATACCACTGTTCGGCCACGTAGGATCTCGAATTGCCTACACTGACAACTGAAGGCGAACTAACAGTGAGGTAAAGTCACCGCTCCGCACGTCACGCTCGGTTCGGTGAGTTACTTCATTCTTCCTCGAGAAATCGTGATATCTGAGAGTGCGATACCACTATTCGGCCTCTTGAAAATTAATAACAAAAATAAAACCGAAACTTCCATGTTTTTCTTTTTTTTTCTTTTTT